TCCTTCTTTTGATTCCCATCTTTCCCGCGCGTGCGCCCGTGGGACATCCATGGCTTCTTACCGCCTTTGCGGCTGGAGGAGGACCCGTTGCTCTCGCCGGTGTTGTCGCGGAGCTTTAGGCGTGCAAGCCATTCCTCCTCCGTGAGGAGTAGACGGCCCTCCTTGTCAACAGCTGAAGTGATATTCTTCTTCCGCTGCTCGACGTTACGTAGTCTTCCGGTCACCTCTTCCACTGTTAGGTCGTTCACGTCAAGCAATGTCTCGATTGAAATCGCGACTTGCTCGAGGTGATCGGGAACGACCTGCAACATCTTCTTCACAATTTCTGTCTCGCTGATGCCACCACCGAGGGTGGTGATGCTGTTGGCGAGCCCCGTGATCCGCACCAGCCGATCCTCCCGGTACTCGATTGTTTCTCCTTCCTCTGGCTCGACAGCGTGCCATAACCCTTGCGCCTGTAGGTTAACGCGCATCAACAAGGCCCACTCGTTGTAGTTAGACCTTGTCAACATCGGGTACTGTTGAACGACGGCGGTCGTTGTCTCCCTGATCACTCGCTCAACGACAACTCGACGCCCGTCATCACGGCGTCGGCCTCTTCGTGGTGGTGATGGAGATGCCGGCACTTGACGGCGGCGTGGAGGAGTGAGCGAGCTTGCTCGGGATGGACCCCACGATGTGCTTATTTTCGCCCTTTGCATTTTCTTCTACTCGAACCTGAGACCTATGTGTTGTTAGGTCGACACTCTAACCACTTGAGCTATTCAACTTGATTGTTGATAGGTTGGCTCTTCTGTGATGGTATACTACCGATCGCTTCAACGAGGCTCTGATACCACTTGATGTATATGTATAATCAGTCAGGGAAATCACCGAGAGGATATTGTCGACAGGAGGTTGTTGGAAGAAAGATACAATGCGTAAAATAAGAGAGAGAGAAGGACTGAAAGTTTGACTGCTCTTCAAAATCCGGATGGGAAATCTTGTAAACAGATTTCCTATTTAAATACAACCTATCCTAAAAATGGGTGGAGAGTGGCCAACTGAATCTGTGCCACTTCCTAGAAAATTGACGTCTAAGAATTCCCTAATCCATTCGACGTGTTTGTCAAATGTTCAAAGGGAAATTAAACGTAAACGTGTGAATCTAAATAAAGAAAAAACAAAGGTTTTATCTAACATTGTAGATTTCTTGGGATAGGACAATAGAGTAGAGATTGCCCAAATGCAAGAATTATGACCATCAAGAGGGAGAAATTTTTACAGATGACGAGGCACATGACGACATAAATGAGGAAAATGATGAGAGTGAGGAGCCTAGTGAAGAGGACCCTACACATATATATCTTTGGTTACTCGACGAGCTCTAAACACCCACATTAAGGAGGACAGCCTAGACCAACGAGAGAACTTATTTCAAACTCGGTGTCTTGTTCAATCAGTACCTTGTAGTGTTGTCATTGATAGCGGTAGTTGCACCAATGTAGTGAGTTTCATTCTGGTCAAAAGACTTAATTTAAAGACACAACCACATCCAAGACCCTACAAGCCTCAATGGTTGAGTGATCGTGGGGAAGTACAGGTAACTCAACAAGCTCTTGTTTCTTTTACTATTGGAAAATATGTTGATGATGTTTTATGTGATATTGTATCCATGCATGTTGGAGATTTACTACTGGGGAGCCCTTGATAATTTGATTGTCGGGTAATGTATGATGGGTCTGCAAATCGATACTCTTTTACTCACAATGGTAAAAAAACTACTTTGTTCCATTGTCTCTACAATATGTATTTATTGATCATTGCAAACTTAAAAAGAAAAAGCAAGAGGCTGATGCAAAAGCAGAGATTAAAAAAGAATCAAGTGAAAAAAAGAGCTTGAGTGAAAAGTAAGAGAGTAACGCTCAACTTAGAGAAGAAAAAGAGAGAAAAGCCAAATCTGTAAGCTTGTATGTTATATCAAGTGAGGCTAAGAATGTTTTGCTCTCTAACCGGACTACTCTTGTACTTATGTGCAAGGGGTCTTGTTACTTTACTAACACGATTAATCCTTCTTTGCCTAGTGATTTTGTTGTGCTTTTGCAAGAGTTTGAAGATTTATTTTTTGAGGAGATGCCTAGTAGTTTGCCACCACTCAGAGGGATTGAACACAAGATTGAATTTATTCCTGGCGCACCCATTCCAAACCGACCAGCATATAGGACTAATCCAAAGGAGGCCGAAGAGATACAAAGGAAAGTAAGTGAACTCCTTGCAAAAGGGTATGTACGTGAAAGTTTGAGTCTTTGTTCTATTCTAGTTATTCTTGTACCTAAGAAAGATGGTTCTTGGAGTATCTGTGTTGATTGTAGGACTATAAACAAGATAACTATAAAGTATAGGCATCCAATTCCTAAATTAGATGATATGCTTGATGAGTTGCATGGATGTCGTTCTTTTACTAAGATTAATTTAAAATCGGGTTATCATCAAATTCACATGCATATTGGGGATGAGTGGAAAACAACTTTTAAAACCAAGTATGGTTTTTATGAATGGTTGGGTATGCCTTTTGGATTAACTAATGCACCCAGTACATTCATGAGACTAATGAACCATGTCTTACGAGAATACTTAAGTAAGTTTGTAGTTGTTTATTTTGATGACATCCTTGTTTACTCTAAATATTTAGATGATCATATTACCCATGTAAAAATACGTTTTGACTACTTTAAGAAATGAATGTTTTTATGTAAATTTAAAGAAATGTAACTTTGCATGGAAAAAGTTAACTTTCTTGGGTTTGTAGTTTCATGTAATGGTGTTGAGGTTGATGAGGAAAAAGTGAAGGTTATAAAAGATTGGCCTACACCTCAAAGTATAAGTGAGGTAAGAAGTTTTCATGGTCTTACAAATTTCTACCGTAGGTTCGTTAAGAATTTTAGTACAATTGCTTCACCCTTGAATGAACTTGTTAAGTAAAATGTATCCTTCATATGGGAAAAAGATCAAAAACTTGCTTTTAACACTTGAATTGAATGTGATACTCATGGAGTAGGGATAGGTGCTGTATTAATGCAAATTCAAAGACCTTTAATGTTCTTTAGTGAAAAGTTGACTGGTGCATTTTTTAGGTATCCAACTTATGACAAAGAGCTTTATGCTTTGGTTCGTGCATTGCAAACATGGCAACATTATCTTTGGCCTAAGGAGATCGTTATTCATACGGATCATGAAAGTTTAAAGCATTTGAGAGCACAAAACAAATTCAGTAGACGACATGCTAAGTGGTTGGAATTTATTGAAACATTCCCTTACGTCATCGAATATAAACAAGGTAAGGAGAACATTGTTGCAGATGTTTTATCACGAAGGTATGTCCTCCTCAATATTTTGAATGCTAAGTTGTTGGGTTTTGAACACATAAAGGAGTTGTATCAACATGACATGTTCTTTGCTCCTTTTGTTGAATTTCGTGAAAAAGGACTCATTGTGGATAATTACTTTTTGTTAGATGGATTTTTGTTCCGAAAAGGCAAACTTTGCATACCATTTTGTTCCATACGTGAGCTACTTGTGAGGGAAGCTCATGAAGGTGGTTTAATGGCACACCATGGAGTTTCTAAATCTTATGATATGCTATCTGATCATTTTTTTTTTTTTTTGTTTTTGGCCTAAAATGATACATGATGTTAATAAAGTTTGTGCTCGTTGCATAGCATGTACACAAGCTAAGTCTAGGCTTCAACCACATGGTTTATACTACGCATTACATGTTCCTAGTGGTCTTTGGATTGATATATCAGTGAATTTTATTTTAGGTTTACCCAGGACTAGGAAAGGATATGAACCATATTTGTTGTGGTTGATCAATTTAGTAAAATGGCTCATTTTATTCCTTGTCACAAAAGGGATGATGCAAAACATATTGCTGACTTGTTCTTTAGGAAAGTTGTACGATCGCATGACATTCATAAAAGCATTGTTAGTGATCGTGATGTAAAATTTTTAATCCATTTTTGGCGTGTTTTATGGGGTAAGTTAGGAACTAAGCTAGTATATTCAACTACTTGTCATCCTCAAACGAATAGACAAACTGAAGTTGTTAACAAAACCAGGACTACTATGCTTAGGGCTATTATTGATAAGAATCTTAAGACTTGGAGGATTGTTTTTCATTTATAAAATTTGCACATAATAGGGTTGTTCATAGCACTACTAAATGCATACCTTTTGAAATTGTTTATGGCTTTAATCCTTTAACCCCATTAAGTTGTTACCTATGCCGTCAAAAAAGTTTGTGAATTTCAATGCAAATGTCAAGGTTGAGTTTGTTCATAAACTGCACAAGCAAGTTAAAGAACAAATTGAGAAGCAAAATTCCAAGGTTGCCACCTGAATTAATAAAGAACGTAAGATTGTCATCTTCAAGCCAGTAGATTGGGTTTGGGTGCATTTTTGAAAAGAAAGATTTCCTACTCAAAGAAAATCTAAGCTTTTACCACGAGGAGATGGACCTTTTCAACTTCTTGAGCGTATCAATGACAATGCTTATAAAATTGATACCCAATAAGAAATAATTTGTTCTTGTTTCGCCGAGAAATCATATTTTGGACGAACTTTGGAAGTGAATATCTTAGGCTACAGTCCATGAGAATGTATGAAATCAATTCCTAACTCTTCCTTGTAACACCATCTTTAAGTTTCATGAAAAAATCAAGGGGAGAAATGACGTGATCATTTCTGTAGAGGGTGAGTTTCAGATGGGGGCGCTATATGTTGCTGGCGTCTTCTTCCCGTCTGGAGGACTGGAGGAAGAAGACGATGACATGGCCGGTTCAGTTGAACTGGCCATGTCGACTCAAAACTCGACCTTCCCTCGGTCTTTCTCATTTTTAACCCCCTTCTAGACCTGTTCTCATAAACCTCTTCATGGTTCTAGAAACTAAACACAATAAGGAGTCTGTGTAAGGAAATTTGAGGGAATTCGGATACCGAAAACTCAAAAATGGAGGCCCCAACGTCGACGATGAGGTAAGTAGCCACCTTGAACTTTTTGTTAAAAAATACTTGTAGGAATCACTTGGATTTCCATATGAACCCTAAAAAAAGTATGAATTAAGGATATATGAAAGAAAAACTCAAAGAACCGGAGTTAAGGCCCTAAACCGATCAAATTGCTCAAGAATTAGGTAACACTAAAATAACTCACTAAATGAACTCTGCTGCCTATGAAACTTTAATGCTTGGCATATTATAGCATGTTGAGGCTATATATGAAATTTTGTGGTCATTGGATAAGGACAAGTAGGTAAACCAAGAAACAGTGCAAAATGACCATAAGCCCCTAAGGATATCTTCCTATGGTTGATGACCTAGATGACCTTCAAATACTATGAAACTCTAAAGTAAATCTTATTTTAGGGGTAAAATGACCAAAATGCCCCTAGGACTACTAATGATAATTCAAGGTCTATACGTGCTCCAAATGATTTGATACTTCTTATAAGGTCTATTCTTAAGGATATAAAGATATATTTGAGATTTCAAGTTGATTAGAGCATGTTTGAAACCTAAACCAAGTCAAGACCCAAGAAACACCACAAGAATCAAGACTCTTCTAGAACCCTCTAAAGAACTCCTAGGAATCTAGGACCTTCTAGAATGACTCACGCTGAGAAGGGTTCATATGGTTACCAATGAATGTTACCAATGAAAGTTACAACTTACGCCTCAAGGAATTATGGACCTTACAAACTTACAAGATTGAGAACCAAGAACAACACCACACAAGCTTTACAACTACCTAAGTAAGAAGAATGCTAGGTACCACTCAAGGACGAGGGACCAAGGTCCCCAAACTCAGAAACTCAAGAATGCTAGGTAATCATGTACAATGTGACCCATGACCTTCCACCAAGCGGTGCTTTCTAAGGTCTAAGAATTCCTCTTCAAATGAGAAATACAAATATAAAAGAAAATACAAAAGACTCCAAATACGAAAATGGACTGACGCTCCGGAACGACACCCCTCTATGATAGCGCAACTCTCAAACACCTCCCTATCTCAACTGGTACCTGAAGAAAAAAAAGGGGGAAACGGGGTGAGTATAAAAATATACTCAGTAAGCAACCTAGTTGTAGGCTCTTTTCGCATCCTTATCTTAGTAGATATCCACAGTCTTATCTCGGGGTTCTATTGAGTACAAACTAAGCTGCAACTCTCTTTTCTGTATCTTAAGAGGCTTGCCCATCTTATGCAGTGGAATGATTAGTGTCTTGAGGTGAGGCGCGACCTCACAAGTAAATCTGAGGGGATCGTATGGTTGAATCTGAATAAGTAACTCTGTCTGAACATCATCCATGGAGGTTAGCTGACAACCCTCCCATGAGACCATACATCCACTAAAATCAGGGGTTGCGATCCCTTGTGAGCTGGTCAGCAACTAATTCATCCTACATGGTTCCATGTTCCCCTGCTCAGGGACAGGTTTCTACGACCCAGGAGTCCAATTTAGAAGACCCCTTAGCTATCACCACTAGTTCGAGGCACCTGTCACACTTCCCTGTCCGGATCTGTCTAGATTGACGATCTCAGTATCGGAGTTCTGTCTCGACGATACGATATTGGAGCAGAGAGGGAAGTGGAGGTTCTAGTGACACTATCCACACTGCTCAACTCTAGCAGGCTACCTATAGTTACTATGGTGTCCTACTAGTCTTTCTAGGGCGGACTCTTAGTGGCTTAGACCTGGATTCATTCATCTCTAGGATTCACATGCAAGGTCTTACAAACCTGACGTTGTTTGGAATTCTGGGTTATGGATCTGCTGGTAATCTTTTCACAGGTCTAAATGCACGGTATTCTAGAGGTATCCCAATCTAGGGTTTTGTCTAGCCTTCATAGTCTCAAGCGCCCTATTCATTCTAAGCTCATAGTTCCTCCCTATTCAGCAAGAAAGATAACACAAGGAATCATGCACTGGAGTTAACATGCTATTTCATGCAATATTAACAAATATGTTCAACGAGAAGATAACGTCCATCTTTACCCAGAGCGCAGATTTCACAAGTTTTCCCTTCCTCCTCATGCATACCTACAATGTCACATTCCAAGTCTAAACAGATCTCATAGTCATGCATATCTAGATTCCATTGATTTCTTTAATTAATTAATTTCTATGATTTTCATGCTAATATGATGAGTTGGCTAGCTTAGTTTATAGATATGATAGCATGCATGCTTATTCCAAGCGGTTCCTACAAGTACTGCTCGTGGGAATCCAAATGGCTACTTACTTAGTTGATGCGTGCTTTCCCAAGCTCTAGTTTCTTGACGGAGAGGGTTCCAAAAATTATGGAATTTCCTTAGAAGGTCCTATTTCACATAATAATAGGGTAAGTAGCGAAATCGAGATGAAGACAAGCAAACGGGGGCTGAACGAAAGGAAAAATGATGACTCACGTGCGACTAACACGTTACTACGCGCGGTTTCCACGCGTGCGTTCCCACACGTACAATCCTGAGTAGTCGTGAGTTTGAGGGTCGGGTCGGACTAGTCGCATCAGGATGAGTTTTCGGATACGGATCAGGTCGCGTGATGCGGGTCGTTGGTTCGGACACGGATTGACCCGAATCCGCGCATTGCTGTGTGTCTGCTAGCGTGTGGGACACGTCTCTCCAACTGATGGTTGCCATGTGTCGTTCATTGGTTCTGCCCCACTCCTCCGTCTGCCAGTCGATGCGTGATGATGTTTCTTCTCTCTCCTGCATGTGCTTCAATTTCTAAACCGTTAGGTGTTTTCGCGTTTTCGATCTATTTTCTTCGGATTTTTTTATCTTCCAATCTGTAATCCAAATCAACACGAACATTGTAGATCTCATATTCCACTCACTCAATATGATTTTTCTTATATTTTTTTTTTATAATCATAGGTCATAATATTCGAGTTCGAATTTGGAGAAAAAACATGAGTTCTTACTAAAAATCGTTTTTTCTTGAAACTCCGATTCGAATGCGAATCTTGGTCGCCTTCACTCCGAAAATTGCGAAGATCACACTTCTGAGAGTAATAGTCCAAGAATCAACACAAAAATGCCGCTAACACAAACATCTCGATCTAGACATTTGTGGACTAACCTTATGTTCTTTGACGATTTTTACGAAATAGGAAGGTGCAATTCGTGAGAGCACCTTGCCTCGAACTACTGAAGGTCTAGGTTGAGGATTCTCATACCTCCAACGTCAATTTTCGGTCAGATCTTCTCCTCTAACCTCAACACCCTAATCTCTTTTCTTTCTTCTTTCTCCTCTCTCCTTTCTTTCTCTTTCTTCTTATGACCCAACCAATCAGACTCCTCAAGTAATAGTAGGGTAGAATGACTTTTTTTTAAAAAAAACTCGGCGCTACACCAACCACCAACCGTCTTGGCCCAGACACCTACACCCTTGGTCCAAACACCCAGCACCTTTGGCTCAACAAACTCATGACCCACATGCCTACAGCAACTGACTCGACAACCTGCACACGTGTCACCTTCTCCCAGCGACACATATTGCGCATGTAGATGCCGACTCCTTCAGCTTATGCAGCCTAGTCGGCTCAACTCGACTTTTGCTCGACGGCTCTGATAGCTCAAAACACAGCTTCTCGGCTCGATATAGGGAAACTTTCACCAATTTCACCTTTTCAACTATCACGAAGCTGATTTCAACCTTAATGAAGGCAACTAAGGTCATTAGGATGCTAAATTTCTCAATTTAGGTCATCTTAGATTATGAAATTAGAGTTATTAAGATAATTGATCAAATGTTCTATAGGAAATATCTCAATGACGCTCAGAAATAAAATTCACAAGACGTGTTCAAGTAATTATTTTAGGGAGAATATCGGCTGAGGCCAACCAAAAAACATGACCTTACTATCGGTTCGGTTAGAAATTGAATCATGTTTGATGACACGTGCCCTGTGGCTTTGCACGTGTCATATGCTTGTTATATGTGAAAGGTTATGAAATGATATATTTACAATATGATATATGTTATGATATGGTACGCTTGAAAGCAGGTTCTTGATATGATATGTGAATGATATGATATATGTTATTATGTAATATGATTGATGATACAATGCAAATTGTGACATGCTTTATGATTTGATATGTTGGAAGACACGATATGTTTATGATGTAACACATGTTTGACATGATGAGATGTATGATATACATGATATGCAATATGATGTTTGGACATGATGCACAACCCCGATATATGTATGGAAAGTTATGATATGAAGGAAAATGGAAGGGGTTGTTTTACATGATAATTAATGAAAATGTTGGGACCTCATGCATTAGGGAATGTCCTTTTTTTATGATTGTTCGGATGCGTATGTTACGAGACAGGAAAACGATCATTATGTTTATCATAATGCTACGACAATCACTATTCCTATGGGGTATTCAACAATAGCTCCAGAGAATGCTAGCCCGACCAAGAAAGGGGTCTAGGAGGTGTACGAGCCGACTGGTGAGGCCATACTCGTATGTGTGGGTCATGTGTAGAATTGTAAATACACATCCAATTACCCGCTTAGGATAGCCGTTTAAGGGAATATTGACTAAAATGATGGGTCCTACTCATGATTGTATGTGCTTGCATATAACCCCAATAGTGGGGTCACATACGAAGTAGCTCTTAAAATAATAAGTCATGTGCTACTCTTATTTTCCAGGTAAAGTCAAGGCTCTTCGGCTGACCGTGGCATTACAACTCAGGAGACCATGACACATGCATAGGGTAGTTTGCATTTAATTTCGTAGACTATAGTTTAGTTTGTGTTAGTTTGCATTTAATTTTGTAGAGTACAGGTTAGTATCTGACATTTCTGTTTTATTTTATTTTATTTTTGTTAAAGTATTTTCAGGACCTTCTCATCAAGCTTCATTTATGCAACAAAGTCTTCAAGATACTTCAACTGAGACTTTATTTATTCTTATATGGTAATAAATTTATGATGGATAATTGAAAACTAGATTGATGGTGTTTCATGAATGTATTTTAAGTTTTAAGTTTTCTACTTATTTTTAGATTACATTTACATAGTCATCAATTATGCTAACTAAGTAAGATGGTTACAAATTCTTGAAATATCTCATGGAAGGTCAAAGGTTTCATTTTGAGGGTATATAAAGACATGTATGTTATCTTTGTAAAGATGGACTTGGAAAATGTAGTAAAAAGAACTTTAGCCAAGGGCTAATTTTCTTTGCAATTCTATGTAGTTTAGATTGCATGGTTAGAATCATTAAGTTTGACATGATCAATCTTGCTTGTGGAGCACTGGAGATCTCGCGTCCCCAACTACCCACACCTCTACAAGAAGCCTCTCGGAGCAACACAACTCATTCCCTTACCTGTTGAAAGCATTGGAAAGTAGAGGAGAAGGCGACGGTAGACAGTTTTTTTCATTGGAGTAAAACGTCGGCGAACATCAAGG